CCACAGCTTTAAAAGGTATGAGGCATATTAGAAGGATGGGAATATACCTCAATTTCACTGCATTTCTTTAAATCCCACCTGGATTCTCACCCCCCCCCCTCCATCTTCATTTCATATTAGATTGTGACAACTTTTCTTTTTCTAATCTGCCCTCTAAAGCAAGGGTGTGTGTGTGTAAATATGTGGGGGCCAGGGTCCAATTTCCCCCGACCCCCATCTGTGCCCTCAAAGCAAGCCCAAATAGCTCCAATTTGCCTTATCAGTCCCTCTCAAAATGGTGACAATAAGTGTGCCATCAAGATTCCAGCAGAAAATGGAGGCATTTGGGGGCAGTACGGAGTTCTTGAGTGTTTATGAGGGTGAGGAGATGTATTTGTGAGCGTTTGAAAGGATTTCCTTGTGATTTTGGGAGAAAACACTGCCCAAAAATCATGACAAATTGTTTTTTAATTAAGGTTTGTGGAGCTTCAAGGATCACTAAAGTAGGGTTCAGGGGCTGCATGCAGCCCTCGGGCTACACTATGTCCATCCCTGCTCTAAAGGCACCCTAAAATAATGTTAAAATAAATACACGTTGGGACATACATGTATCACCTCCCCAAAAATTATCCAATCCTAGTCTCTGCAAATTTTCAAAGCAATGATTATTTGGAAGTTGGAACATGGTAGAAACTCTCTTCAGTCACACCCCCGCTATCTTCTATTATAAACACATCTCCAGTGATAGCAAAAAGGAAAATAGAAAGTTTTATTGCAGCAGGTTAAGGTCTGGGGAGTGAGAGAAGATATGAAATCTCTTGGGAGTAAAGGCAGCCCTCTGAAGGTTAAAGAAACAACAGCAGGGATAGAAAAAAACTGCTGAGATGGCATTCCGTCTGCCACTCACCCAGCAAATTGAGAAAATCCTATCCTCCTGATAACTGGGGCTCATGCAAATTGTCACCTCATTCCTACACCCCATATATGAATGCAATTTATTCTTGTCTTACAGATACTGTACATTGAAATAGATGTACATATGCTGTAGACCTATGAATTATCAGCAATTTGTAAGTCAGGTAAAATGCATTTGAAAGCTAACCTGTAAAAAGCTCCTGTCCAACTGAATGGTGTGTTTCTGCCACCGTTTGTTCTTTTGAACTTAAATGGAAGAAAGTCTGTTTGTTTGGTCTATATTTGTTTATTTATGCATGTAGACATGTTTCAAATATTTTGGCCAAGTGGCCGTGGTGGCTGGGGGATTCTGGGAATTATAGTCCAAAAACAGAACTTTCCCAACCTTTTCCATGGGCCAGGAACTAACTCTCAGCCTCACTCATCAGGGTTGCTGGAAAGATACAATTGGGGAAGAGGGCCATGTACACCATTTGAAGCTCCTTGAAGGAAAGCTAGATCATAACACGCAATAAATACATAGGGTTGCTTTTTGCTTTTGGTTTTCACTACAACACAGTTCATCCATGAAATGTATTGGCTGAAAACAAGGCAGACCCTTTTCAGAGACAACAGTTAATGAGAAAAAAGCAGCCCCCAGCTGTTCAAATGAAGACTTGGCCATTTAACAAGCAAGTCACTCAACTGAGCCTCCTGACAAAACCTATGACCAACTTTTCACCTCTCCAGGTTTGGTGTGTCAAACCAGATTCACTAGACCAACAGCTGCTGGGGAAGTCTATATTTTCAACAACAGGTTGATTACAAAATAAGGAAAGCATGCCCTGCAAAAACCGGGCTCCCACATGAAGGTGTCCCCATGTTCATTTTTAACCAGGTAAGGCAGAATTTAAGGAAATCTTCTCCCTATTTCTTGTATAGCCATTCCCAAAGGGGAAGCTGTGCTTGCCTGTTGTAGCCAGAACCAGGAAGGAAGCACCTTGTGGAACCTTAAAAGACTCACACATCTATTATAACAGTATTTGTGGACTACAGGCCAAAAAAGCACATACTGTAATAAGTTTTAAGAGTCTTTTAAGGTGCCGCAACCCCCCTCCCAAGAATCGACGCCGTATCAGCTGCCAAATACCATTGTGTAAGCTGACAGAAAAGTGAGTTGCAGCTACATCTCACTAGCCTGCCACCAGTGTGTCCTTCCTGGTTCTTTCAAAGGTCCAAGACATTTGGAGGCGATAAACAGGGTGTCTTTTATTCCCAGGAAAGACCTTTTTTTCTTCTTTTTTTAAAAAAAAATTGCAGGAAGGGGTGAATGACTTGCTAAGATTTAGAAGGAGCCCTACAATAAGCTGAAAAGGTTTCAAGAAGACCCCCCAAAAGTGACCATCTCTCTTCCCAGCCTGTTTTGAAAGCGCGCTCTGCTAAAACAGCAATGCAGAATAAATTCAAAATGTTAAAGATGCAAAACTAGAATAAAAGTAGAATGTATACTACAATAAAATGGGTTCTTTCTTTTATATATACGTATAGAGATATACATTAAAAGCCACAACAACCTTTGAACATCTGGTCTAACTCTCCTCAATGGGGTATTTAAGAGAAAATTAGAAATACACACCCAAACACATGTACAAGAACATAATCCAGCCCTAGGAATCAGAGAAGAATATACAAATCCTCTGTTACCCAAAACACCTATATATACAGACTTGACTTTTGCACAGTACCAAGAAATACAGTGGTCCCTCCAAATTTGCTAAGGTTAGGGGTGAAGGATCCCCATGAAAGTGGGAAAACCACAAAAATAAAAACACTATTCTTTTTTTACCTGAGAGAACACCTCTCTAGGAATCTCCAGGTCCTCCAGCGCAACTCTATGGTCAACATCTGCCAGAGGTTGACCACAGAGTCATGCTGGAGGACCTACAAAGGCCTAGAGAAGTGTTTTCTCTAGGAACTTCTAGGTTCTCCAGCACAATTCTATGGTCAACCTCTGGAGGAAGAAAGCTGCAAAAGTGGAAGGCCAACTGTAATAAGCACTGTTGCCCCCGCATTTAAATACAGGTGAATGCACAGACAATTCAGCCGCAGAATGCAAAGGAGATCATACAGTGGTCTTCCCCAGCCAGGTGTACCCCAGGTGTCAGTGCTATGACCCCCACTATTTCATGGTTAAGGAGAAAAGATGGGAGTTCTAGTCCAACGTGTCTGCAGGGTCCTGAGTTTGGGAAGGCTGCTACACACTTTCCTAACCCATCCAGACAAAGTGGATTGCAGCATCCATGTGCAGGCAAACAGAACAACCAAAAAGCTGTGAAAAGCGTGTCTCCCTGTCTTTCACAGGTAAAGATCCCTAAAGTTACTGTCACTGTCACTGCCTCATCCAGGAATGCCAGATGTAACAGACATCAGGCATGTCCAGTCCATTTGAAATCATGCCTTTTTAATGGGTTTGTGAACTCTTATGATGGTCTTTGAATGCTTTTATACTACAGTGGGCCCTTGGTATCCACTGCTGTTTGGTTCTGGGGGACTGCTCAAGTCCCATTAAATAAAATGGCCAGGTAAAATGGTCTCCTTTATATAAAATGGCAAAATCAAGGTTTGCTTTTGGGAATGAATGTATTTTTTGCATATTTGCAAGCCATGGATGGCGGAATCTGCAGATAAAGAATCCGTGGATAAGGAGGGCCAACTGTATTTGTATTTTAACAGTGGGTTTATGTATTTTTAATTGTGTTTTAACATGCTGCATCCCGTCTTGAGCCTTGAGAAGAGGTGAGAAAATAATGATTAATAATAATAATAATAATAATAATTCATATCAGAAGCAGTGAGGAAAGGTGGCATTTATTTATTATTATAGTATTATTATTATTACTATTACTATTATTATTATTAGCAGCAACAGCAGAAGCACCACCTCTGAACATCCGCAGACTGCCTTTCCCTCACTGTCTCTGAGATCCACCATAAATCACTCACACAGCTAAACCTGGGACTGCATCCACACTGCCAAAATAATCCGGTTTGACGCCACTTTAACTGCCATGGCTCCATGCCACAATGTACAAACTATAATGCCCAGAAACCCATAGCGTGGAGCTATGGCAGTTAAAGTGGGGTCAAACCGGATTATTCCGGCCGTGTGGATGCACCCCAGGAGAAAGGAATTCCAGCTGCACTACAGTGCCCACAATCCCATCTCATGGAGCCGTGGCAGTTAAAGTGGGGTCAAACCCAGTTATTTCAGCAGTGTGGATGCACCTGAGGAAAAAAGGAATTCCAGCTCATGGGCTGTGGTTTGCAAACAGCTGTGAAGGGCTCCCTCCCCTTTCTTCAAACCGCCACTTGGAGAAGTTACTTCACGTGACACTTGAGAAACGTTAGCAGAAACTTACACCCAGGAAGCGAGACTGAGAGCATTGCAAAAACAGCCCCAGAAACATCATAGTATGGGCCCCATCCAAAAGTAAACTACATTCTTGGAGATTAGAAAATCTCACCTCTCGCCCTCCGGGCTGCATATATTCGATTGCATAGACATGCAAATCCACACAACCCCAAATCCACAATTCTAGCAACCATTTGCTGCACCCCAGGTCAGTCCCACCTTGGGAGCCTCTTCCCCATCATCCCTCTTGGTTTACATTTCGATGGACCAGCTTTCAAGACCAGTTCCCAGGTGGTTGGCATAACTAGCAATGCCCAAACCAACCAAACCAAATTCAATCCAGAATCCATCCAAACTGTGAAAAAAGAAGGCCGTGTTTTTAATTCAGCAGCTCAGCTCCGGTGCCACAACAAACTACAAATCTCGGAATCCCATGGCGGTGAAAGTGGGGTCAACCCGGATTATTTCTCCAATGCAGATGCAGGCCAAGAAATCACAAACCAGATGTTTTAGATCTGGGGGCATCTCGGACGCTGCTCTCTCAAACATACCATGTTGTTCTTGTGTGCTTTCAAGTGGTTTCCGACTTACAGCAACCCTAAGGCCAACTTATCCTGGGCTTTTCTTGGCAAGGTTTCTTCAGAGGGGGTTTGCCATTGCCATCCTCTGAGGCTGAGAGTGTGTGACTTGCCCAGGGTCACCCAGTGGGTTTCCATGGCTGAGCAGGGATTCGAACCCTGGTCTCAAGAGTTATAGTCCAGCACTCAAACCTCATACCATACCATGCCCATGTTATATCTGGGAAATATTTATACTCATCTTTAATCCCCATTACTTTCTAGTGTTCTAAGCACAAGACCAGACACCCTCTACATTTTTCTTGGTTCTCCCAAGAAAGAAATATTTTGTCCTTCTTCTCCTTCTTATCATTTTCATCCATTCCTGTGTTCAGGTGGGAGCGTCACTCCTCCTCTCTGACCCAGAGAACTACATCCATCACCATCCAGAAAAACATGGAATTAAATCTGTTCCTCGACACTCCACTCTGATGGCCTTTGCAGACTGCCAGAAATAGTGCAAACTGAGTCCACTTTAAGGGTTAGGGTTAGTGCTAGGGAATCATGGGAATTGTTTTTTCCCTGAGACATTGAGCCTTCTCTGTCAGAGAGCTCTGGTGCCACAATAAAATACAGTTCCCATGATTCCCTAACCCTAATCCTAACCCTTAGTGGACTCAATTTGCACTATTTCTGGCAGTCTGCAAAGGCCCTAAGATCCATCATCTTTCTCTCTCTTTGTGGCTGCATCTGCACTGCAGAAATAATCCAGTTTGACACCACTGCAAACTGTGGTTGGGTGAGTTATTTAGCCTTTTCTCTCAGAGCGCTCTGGTGCCACCACAAATGACACATCCCAGGATTCCATGGCATGGAGCCATGGCAGTTAAAGTGCTCTGGTGCCACAACAAACTGCATTTCCCAGCATTCCCTAGCATGGAGTCATGGCCACTGAAGTGCCTGGTACCACAACAAACTACAATTCCCAGCATCCCCTAGCATGCCACTGAGCCATGGCAATTAAAGTGCTCTGGTACCACAACAGGCTATATTCCCCAGCATTGAGCCATGGCAGTTAAAGGAGTCTGGTGCCACAACAAATTACAATTCCCAGCATTCCCTACCATGCCATTGAGCCATGGCAGTTAAAGGGCTTTAGTGCCACAACAAACTACAATTCCCAGCATTCTCTAACATGCCACGGAGTCATGGTAGTTAAAGGGCTCTGGTACCACAACAAACTATAATTCCCAGCATTCCCTGGCATGGAGCCATGGCAGTTAAAGGTCTCTGGTACTACAACAAGGTATAATTCCTGGCATTCCCCAACACTGAGGTATTGCAGTTAAAGTGCTCTGGTGCCCCACCAAACTATAATTCCCAGTATTCCACAGCATGGAGCCATGTCAGTTAAAGTTCTCTGGTATCCCAACTACAATTCCCAGCATTCCCCAGCATTGAGCCATGGCAGTTAAAGGGCTTTGGTGCCTCAAGAAACTACAATTCCCAGCATTCCCTAGCATGCCATGGAGCTATGGCACTTTAAGGGCTCTGGTGCCCCAGCAAACTATAATTCCCAGCATTCCGTAGCATTGAGTCATGCCAGTTAAAGTTCTCTGGTATCCCAACTACAATTCCCAGCATTCCCCAACACTGAGCCATGGCAGTTAAAGGGCTTTGGTGCCCCCAACAAACTACAATTCTCAGCATTCTCTAGCAAGTCATGGAGCCATGGCAGTTAAAGGGCTCTGGTACCACAACAAGCTATAGTTCCCGGCATTCCCCAACACTGAGGCATGGCAGTTAAAGTGTTCTGGTGCCCCACCAAACTATAATTCCCAGCATTCCACAGCATGGAGCCATGTCAGTTAAAGTTCTCTTGTATCCTAACTACAATTCCCAGTATTCCCCAGCATTGAGCCATGGTACTTAAAGGGCTCTGGTACCACATCAAACTATAATTCCCAGCATTTCCTAGCACTGAGTCATGGCAGTTAAAGGGCCCTGGTACCACAGCAAACTATAATTCCCAGCATTCCCTAGCATTAAGCCATGGCAGTTAAAGGACTCTGGTGCCCCAACAAACTAAAATTCCCAGCATTCCCCAGCATGGAGCTATGGCGGTTCAAAGTGGTATCAAACCGGATTACTTCTGCAGTGCGGAGGCAGCCTGTGTGTCCTGATTTGGGCCAAGGTGATGGCGTCTCCCTCTTCCCAAATAGCCCTCAGGACTCTTCCCTGACCTAGTCCCCCTCTTTCCTTTGCTTCCTTTGG